TTTTTTTTTTTTTTTGGTGTTGACGTGGCAGTCAACTGATGATGTGGCGTTGACTTGCTGATGTGGCAGCTGACTGGAGTGCTGACCTGACGGATGACTGGGCTGCCGATGTGGCAGCTCACTGGACTGCTGACTGAGCTTTCTTTGCTGACATGGCGATGACGTGTCAGATGATGTGGCGACACGTCATCATCTTCTTCCTCAAGTTTTTTTTTTTTTTTTTTTAAGAACTTGCGGAGGCTTTTCGGGGCAGCTCCGGTGTCCGTTTTTCGCCCGTAAGATATCACCGTGACCGTCTCGACGAGACGAATCTAACGGTGTCCTCGAAATTGAGTTTCGAGCACAACTCAGAAACTCGAAATTTCTAAAGAAGCTCGGAAAAATTCGAAAATAAGCTCGAAAACTTCAAACCAAGCTCTGATACCACTTGTTGTGGTATCATCCCAAGATCAAAAACATAATTTGAGAGAAAAACAAGTTTCTATTACTCACAAGAATAAAAACAAGAGATTTACAAACTCTAAACAAAAAACTCTCAAACACTCCACAACTCTTTCTTGGTTGTGTTTTAACACTCTCTAGGTTGATTGATCACTCTCAAGGATGATTTGAATGAATGAAAGAAGCACTCTATTTATAGATACAAGATGGCACAACATTATTGACAAAAATGGTGTGAAATGGGAAGGTTGGTGATGGCCACCATTGATGAGAATTCTTCAAAGGTGTGCTTCAACAATGATGTGCTAATGGTGGTAGTTTGTTCACATGCATGGAACTTTCAATTTGTAGATGCATATTGGTGAGTCTGTCTTAAAAAAATGTAATTGTAATTAAATGTATTAATTGATGTGAATACGTGTTTAAATGAAGAGAACGGGCGTTTATTAGAGTTATAAACGAATCGAAACAAAGCGAATACTAAGATATTCAATTCGGCTTCGTTAAAATATTTGAATTAATAGTCGATTTGTAAATGAACTCATATTTTGGTTCGTATTCGTACATATTGGGTTCACGATGAACATCGGCACATGCTCGATTATGGCGGCGGAATTGTGGGGATTTTTTCGAGGTTTATCCCTTGCATGGGACTTGGGATTTCGGCGTGTAGAAGCCGAGGTGGACAATGCGAGTGTCGTGGCCTTTACTACTGCTCTTGATGATGTCCCGGGAGTGCACCTTGGGTTAGTGTCGGGGATCAAGGAGCTCATGAGTCGACAGTGGGTGGTGAAAGTACGACATGTATTCCGTGAGGCGAATTACGCGGCCGACTTTATGGCCTCCTTCGCTGCGGAAGGCCCTTTGGGATACCAGTTTTTTAATAACCCGCCGGCGGGGATCTGTCAATGGTTACAGCATGACCTTATTGGAGTTGCCTACTCTCGATCTGTCCGTGCTGTAACCCACTAGGCGTCTAGCCTCTTCCTTTGTACAAAAAAACAACATTGAAAAAATAATTTTATTTTTAAAATTAAGCTCAAGTCCACATATATTGGCAATCTGTGATGCAATAGTTGTCACTCATTTGAACAATTTTGCGTATGAATATGAATTGATTCGGTTGACTTGGGTGTTGACTCGGCCGGATACAGTTCATTTATGTATTTATAGACAATTTAGTTTAATGAAAAAAAATTTATTTGTAAATATTTATGATGAGGCAGAGTATAATTATGATTTTTAAATGATAAGATTTACTTTTAAAATATACATTATTAATATTTTAAGATTTTTTAATTATAATAATTACGATGAGGCGGAGTATAATTTCAACCGATCTATTGACTCGACTGTTCGACCATCTGTTGGATCGACTCAATCGGTTATCTTCTAGGCCAACTTCGACAACTTGTTCTCCCCGAACGTGTTGCTCGACAAGTTACTCGACTTACGTACTCAGCTTCTTGAAATGGAAATCAGACTACATGAAATGACTGACGCTATTATTCAGATCGGGAGTTTGTTTGATGAAATGGTGGAGTACCGAAAAACTCCGGTTCGTGTTCACTCGTACGATGGAACCATGAACCGGATTCATGAGACATCAACACAAAATGTAAACAAAAAATGTAGTTAGTTTAATTTTCAAAGACTATCGAGTAAACTTTCAAAAAGAGTTTTCCTTAAGTTGCCATGACATGTGTTGTATTCATATACTTGTTATATTTATTTATGATGCCTTTTCAATTAAGACTAAACATAAAGTCTAAACACTTGCTTATTAAGTATGGTGCTTATTTTTTATTTTATTTTATTTTTTTCCCTCAAATGGCAATTATTGCAAGCTTAACAATTAAAGTAGCCTATTTTGTGGTATTTACTCTTCTATTGTCTGCATATTGATTGGATATAAGAGGCTAACAAAAACTAGACACAAACTTTCAATTTAAGACAACAACCTTTTAAGCAACAAAATTAAACTTGCCATTAGAAGCCAAGAAATGTGCTTTTTCCAAAACAATACAAAACTCAAACTTACAGCCAAAACCATGTATTTTTGCCCCTAAACCTTACAACAATATCCTTATCATTTTCCCAACCTCAAATCATCACATAAACTCCCCTATCACTCCCTTAAATAGCACCTCTCCTCCTTTCTCTTCCTCACTCACTCACTCACTCACAATGCCACAACCTTTAACTCATTGAGTCGAAAACCCGAAAAAGAAAAAAATATATATCATTGAGTCGAAAACCTGAGCGAAAAAATAAAGAAAAAATGAGTTCGTCTCCGATTCTTTCCGTTGCCATAACAATTACAACAATCCTCGTACTGACGTCGCATTTTTCCCACTCGTCCCCGACCCCTAACGAATTCTACGAGTGCATAAACCTCTACTCTGACACCCCGATTCCTTTCCCTGCGGCATTCTACCCGCGCAATAGCCCCTCGTTCAACTCGGTCCTCAACTCCACCGCCCAAAACCTCCGACGCCTCGTCCCCTCCGTCATAAAACCCGACCTAATCTTCACCCCACTAACCGAGAGCCATGTCCAATCGGCCGTCATCTGCGCACGCCAATTTGGTCTCCGCTTCCGAGCGCGAAGCGGCGGCCACGACTACGAAGGCCTCTCCTACACCTCGGAGTACGGGCCCTTCATCATAATCGACCTCTCGAAGCTCCGGTCAATCATGGTCGATGTCCAAGATGGGACCGCGTGGATCCAGTCTGGCGCCACCAATGGCGAGCTCTACTATCGAATCTACCAAAAAAGCCGGACCCATGGCTTCCCGGCCGGGCTCTGCACGAGCCTCGGCATCGGGGGCCACATCACGGGAGGGGGTTACGGATTCATGATGCGGAAGTACGGGCTCGCGGCCGATAATGTGGTCGACGTGCGAATCGTGGATGCCGAGGGCCGGTTGCTCGATCGAGCCTCGATGGGCGAGGAATTTTTTTGGGCCTTACGGGGTGGGGCCGGGGGAAGCTTCGGGATCATCACCGCGTGGAAGGTTCGGCTCGTCATGGTCCCGCAGACTGTCACGGTTTTCACGGTCCCCAAGACGCTCGAGCAGGGCGCCACGCGGATACTGTCCAAGTGGCAGCGCGTGGCGAGTAAGATAGACGAGGACCTCTTTATCCGTGTCGTCATCCAGGTTAGGGTCTTCGCAACTTACATTTTACATGACCGTTTTGAAAACGAACTGTTATCACTCCAAATCAAAAGAATAACCGTTCACAAATAAATATACATTTTATTAAATTTTTACCATATCTAGCTTCACAAATAAATATAATCTTAACTAAAACTATAATTCATATTTATCTTTTTTCTAATTTATTAAGGGTGATGTCATTTCAAAACAACATCTTTAATAAGGAAATGTACAGAAGTTGAAAATTAAAATAATATATTGCGGCTATTTGATTGTAAGTTGTAACCAGATTTTTTATTGGTTAAAGAAATGATTCACATTAATAATTTGTCATTCCAACTTAATAATTATTTAATAATTAGAAATATTCGATTATTCAGTCTAACCGACCTTTGGTACGGTTCTGGTTATTGAATTTTGATGATCTCTGATTTTTTTTTTTTCGGTTCGGTTTTCCCTAACTACAACACATTTCTAATCCAGGTGGTTTCGGTGGGCACGGGCCCATCGGCCAAGAAAACCGTGCAGACGAGCTACAACGCGGTTTTCCTGGGCCGGGCCGACCGTCTTCTCGACGTGATGGCAACGAGCTTCCCGGAGCTCGGGCTCACTCGAAACGACTGCCGGGAGATGAGCTGGATCGACTCGGTCCTCTACATCGCAGGGTACCCTGCCTCGACCCCACCCGAGGTCCTCCTCCAAGGGAAATCCCTCTTCAAGAACTACTTCAAGGCCAAGTCCGAGATCGTGCGGAGGCCCGTACCCGAGACCGGGCTCGAAGGGCTTTGGGCCCGCTTGCTAGCCGAGGACTCGCCGCTGGTGATCATGAACCCGTTCGGCGGGATGATGGCCCGAATACCCGAATGCGAAACGCCATTTCCCTATCGAGAAGGAGTTCTCTACATGACTCAATATTTGACGTCGTGGTACGACGCGAGTCCCGAGTTGGAGTCGAGGCACGTGAATTGGATTCGTGGATTGTACGATTATATGGGCGCGTACGTCTCGCGGTTCCCGAGGGGAGCGTACGTGAACTACCGAGACCTCGACTTGGGGACGAACGGGAATTGCTCGGGCGTCGGTTTTGTCGAGGGGGGGAAATATTATTGGGGTTTTAGTTACTTCAACAGGAATTTCAAGAGATTGGTGCTTGTGAAGAGTATGGTGGATAGGGAGAACTTCTTCTGGCATGAGCAGAGCATACCTACATTGATGATGTTAAGAGGAAAAGCTAGCTAGCCTTAGTGTGTGAATAATTATTGAATGAAAGTTTGGTTGAGATGTGTGGCTTTTTTTTTTTATTTATTTGTCTATCAATGTTTTTCATACATAGAAATAATATATAAAAATGAATAATTGATATTGGTTATGAAGTTTGGGTTTTGTAGGTTAATGTTGATTGATAAATGAAGTTGTCTTGGTAAAACTATGCTGTGAAAATAGCGGGCGTTTTCAAGAATGGTTTACTAAGTTGTTATTTAATCAAAACTCGTACAAAATTCAACATAGCGTACTAAATATGAAAACTAAAAATGATCACTTTTAGTACATTATGTTAGTTATTTTACGAATTTTGATTAAATTGGTAACTTAATGGACCATTCATGACACCCTAGATGATGGGTTTTTTTTTGGAAAATGACCAACATAGTGGACTCGATTTTTCGATTTCGACTCGATTTTACTCATCCTATAATTAGTAGTCTGTACCAATTATTATTTTATATCCTCATGCATGGGAACAGAGTTTGGGCTTGTTAACGTTTACCAAAACATTCCTTTGTTCTTCAATCTAACCATCATTAACTCTATTTCTTAATTAACTCTATTTCTTAATTATAGACCTAATTAAGGGGGGTGTATTCAATTAGGACTTTTAATGACTTTTTAAGACTTTCAAAATTTAGGGGTATTCAATTGAAACTTTGTGAGACTCTCAAAAAGTTTACATGTATTCAATTAATACTTCTTAAGACTTTTTAAAAGTCTCCAAAAGTTTTAAGGTATTCAATTAAAACTTTCCAAGAATCTCTATAAGTTACATGTTATTCAAGTTAGAAAGATTTGACGAGACTTTGAGAAAAAAAGGATTCTTGGAGACTTTTTTACCAAATTTACAAAGAGACCAATACGTGTGAAAATCTCACCAAAGTTGTGAGATTTTGTTAAACGTGAAATTCTTCTTTCTTCTTGGCGACAAGGTACTCTTCTTTCTAGGGTTACAATCAATTTTTTTATACATCTTGAATTGAATACGAATGGGTGATTGATTCAATTTTTCTAGTTGATATTTTTGTTTGTTTTCAGTGTTCTGCTTTCACGTTCATACATTGAGGTAAGCTGATTAACATATAGTTTATTGCAGCGCTCATGAATATGCAAATTTTGATGCTTTCCGTTTTCTTATTTACTGTGATACTTCTTCAAATTGATAGTAATGAATTTCTGTTTTTTTTTTTTTATTTGAAGTGATTTTGTTGCTTATCACAATAAACTAACAATTTGAAGTGATGCTGTTGGCCTCTTTAGGATTCATATTGATAAAAATACTATCAATCATTATAAGAGATTTATATGGTTAAAATATTTATATGGGATAAGCTGCTCTATATGGCTAACTGATAAACCTTTGCTTTTTACATGTATTTGCATATGAAAACATATCTATGTTGGGTGGCTTAGGCTTTTCCAGTGCATTGTAATATTCTGATGCTTAGGAGATAACATTTCATATGAACTAATTAGCTATTGTTAATATTAGCTGCAAAAGCAGTGTGCTTGTTAACTTAAAAAGAAAAAGTATTTATATGGTGTTAAAAGTTATTTCTATGTCCTACATGTTTACCTGTCAGTTATTCAATTAAAGTTAAGCTTATCTGCTTGCATTTTGTGTTTTTCAATGCTAATTGTAATGTGGCTCGTCGATTGCAATGCGTTTTATTAGGTAACACATTCTAGATTATATTGTGGGCATATCATGTAAGTTAGCAGCCCTGGACTTTATGCACTTTATGATCGAAGTATTATTTGGTTCAAGTGTTTGTAAATTCTTGTAGCAATGGTAGATTCATCACAAGGAAATGAAAAAGTCCCGAGATATGAAATATGGACATCTGAAGAGAGTAATGAATTGCTTAGACTCATAGTTGATGCAGCCAAGCGCGGATGGCGTGATAAGTCTGGAAATTTGAGTAAAGTAACTGTAGAGAAACATATATTGCCCTCTCTTAATGCAAAGCTTGGAACTGAGAAGACGTATTCTCAATATAAAAGTCGTATAAAATGGTTTAAGAAGCAATACGATAAATATGCCAAGCTTATGCGACATAACTCGGGCTTTGGCTGGAATGACGTGACCAAGCAATTTACTGCTGATGATCATGTGTGGGACGAATACTTTAGGGTAAGCATGTTTCATTGATAGTACTTGATATGATTAAAATATTTCATACCATGGTGCTTAAATGATTTTTTTTTTTCTTTTACTAGTCTCATCCTGGGGATACGAGTTACAAGACAGACACTTTTTCTGATTATGAAGATCTAAGAATTGCTGTTGGATGTGGAACTGCTACTGGCACAAACTCAGTTGCAATAGGCGATGATGTTGAAGAAACGATTTTTGAGACGGAAGAAAGAATGGAAAATATTAATTCCACAGACGACCCGATGCTTGATCCAGATTCTGAGGTGTTCGTTAACAATAATAACCCTCTTGACCATATGCCATTATCTCCGATGCACTCTCCACCATTCGCTCAACACAAAAGTTCAGAAAAACGTCCATCCATTCGAAAACGAAATAGAACTAATTTTGAAGGAAACCCCAAAAGCACTGTATCTGACCCTGACAACCTCACAGAAAGTGTTAACAAGATTGTCCGTGCTCTTGAGTCTGTCGACACTAAAGAGTATAACTGTTGGGGCATTATAAAGGAGATTCCAAACTTAGACGACGATTCACGCTTCAAGGTCCTTGATTTGCTTAATACTAGAGCAAAAAAAGCAGAGTTTTGGAATATGGCACCAGAAGAACGTTTGAGATGGATTGCATATAAATTAAAATGATCTATTCTAGCTCCATGTGACATAATAAGTGGTTGATGTTTTTATCTTTGATTTTTTGACGTAGCATTTGTTATTTTTCCCCATATGGAATTTGAACTTTGTTTGGGGTATTAACCAATTTAATGGTTTTTTATTTATGTTTTGAACTTAATATTATTGTTATTTGATAAGCCTTTTCATACCATTGATGATGATGTTTTTTTTTTTTTTTTCGCTCTTTTTTTTAGGTACTTATATTCACATAATGTCTGATAACATGATGCATGGAGACAATGACACCATCATGGAAGAGAATGAGGAAAATGAATATGAAGGGACTTTACATGAAGCTAATAGGTTGTTGTGCTTGGCAATTCAAGCAATTTTTTGCTTGTTGAACGAGCATATAACCAGTTCCTCTCTTCAAGGGACAAACCGCTCATTGGCAAGGCGACCGGTAACAAGTCACGGGCATGATTATATAAATAAAATTATAAGAGAAGATCCAGATAACTTTCGAGAAATTTATAGAATGTATCCTCAAGTGTTTCTAAAACTATCTCACATCATAAGAGAAAAAAATTTACTACAAGATACAAGGTATATCTGTATCGAGGAAATGCTTGCAATGTTCTTGCTCATCGTTGGTCAAAATAGTCGTTATTGTGTTATTCGTAAAATGTATGGTCGGTCTCATTTCACTGCAAGCCGAAATTTCAACAAGGTTCTAAAAATATTAAAAAGGCTTGCTGTTGATATGATGGTCAAGCCAGGATCTACAGTCCCAGAAAAAATCAGAGAGAGCACACGGTTTTATCCTTATTTCAAGGTAAGTGGAATTATTTTTCAAATTAGATTTGGTGTTAGTATTATTGTTCGATAGTGATTTTATCATTGTTATTTTTATCATTATTTACTAAACATTTGGTTATTCAGGATGCTATTGGAGCTATTGATGGAACCCATATTCCGGCAATGGTGACTGAAAAAAATGCCCCAAGTCATAGAAATCGTCATGGGATTAATTCTCAAAACGTTTTAGCTGCTTGCAACTTTGATCTAGAATTCATTTATGTACTTAGCGGTTGGGAAGGTTCAGCACATGACTCCAAAATACTCAGTGATGCTTTAACTAGGAAAAATGGACTCAAAGTACCTCAAGGTATGATTTAAAAAAAAATGAACTCATTCACATATACATTTCTTTGATATGACTTATGAGTTAATAATTAATTATTTTATATCCAGGTAAATGGTTTCTCGTGGATTGTGGATTTCCAAATCGGCGTCAATTTTTGGCCCCTTTTCGAGGTACTAGATATCACCTTCAAGATTTTTCTGGTCAAGGGCGTCATCCTGAAAATGCAAAGGAGTTATTTAATCTTCGTCACGCTTCTTTGAGGAATGTGGTGGAGCGAATATTTGGCATATTTAAATCTCGTTTCACAATTTTCAAAGCAGCCCCTCCTTTCCCATATCGTACACAAGCTGAGCTAGTCTTAGCTTGCGCAGGATTACATAATTTTCTGCGCAAAGAGTGTCGATCTGACGAATTTCCAGTTGATGTTGAAGATGGAGTTTCCACAGAAGATGAAGCGCAAAATTTTGGACCATATTTTGAGAGTCAAGAAACTGAAAGAGAAGCTGCAAATGCGTGGAGATTGAGTTTGGCAACAAACATGTGGAATGATGTTGGGAATATTTGATGTATTATTTATTTCATTTTTGCTCTTTTTTTATTTTTCTAATTCCCGTACAATGTCAATAAGATAACTATTGCACTCTTTTTGTTCCATTGTTGAATGTTTTTTATTTTTGTTTCCATTTCGATTTCAATTGTTATAATATTTTTTTCCCTCTTATCTTATGTGGATAGTGTTTAATATCATAACACATTTTAAATTAATATTATAATTTATAAATAACTAATTTGACTTGATAGATACTAGCTATTATGCACATAATATTTTTATGAGCATTTCATACAAATACATTATTATATTAAAAATTATTTAAAAGTCTTACAAAGTCTCAAAAAGTTTATATTGGAAGTCTTAAAAAGTCTCCATAACAATCCCACAAAATCCACCAAAGTTATTAAAAGTTGCATAAAGTCTACAAAAGTCATCTACTTTAAAAAGTCTTAAAAAGTCATTAAAAGTCCTAATTGAATACACCCCCCTAAATTTCAA